TTTATATCTTGCGCGTCGTGAAATAAAACAATTAATTAATGGGCAGCTTTTACTCTGCTTTCATTCGCTAGTGTTGATTATAAATTCACGAGAATGCAGACTTCGTGACTGTAAAAAAAATGCTTAACGGTTAAAACGGCTGACCTGACCGGTTTCCATAATGCGCGAATATTGTCAGGATTATAACATAAATACGATATTGTCCTCATTTGTTATTTAACGTTAAAAAAAGTATAAAATTTCTCTTATCAATTTTTCAATCTATATATCTAATATAGAATTATTATAAATGTATATTAATTTTACGAGTATGTTTAAAGTTTTATATAATTAAAATCTTCAATAAAAATTCACTACTACTATTTTAGTAGTAGTAGTAGATTTATTTTTTTACTATTATTTTTTTTATTATTAAAGGTTAACATTAATTTTAGCGCAGTAAACGCTAAAAATATAGTAGAAGGAAGTCACAGGGAACGAAAAACACCGTGACACTTCATCGATAGAAAAAAAAACCGTTTTCATAATCCGCATCATTGCATGTCACGCAATGAGTCATGGGGTTCGTGAACCTTATGGTGCGTAACCCTCAGAGGCCTTATTAAGGCCTTCGCAGTGAAACGTTCACGTTGCGCATTTCACGGAAATTACAAGCGTCATCGTCCAAGCATTCTTTTTAAGGTAATTTTATCGCCACGCGCGCCCCTTTAATTGAATAAACGTTATTACATTATGAAACATAAAAATCAATATTTATTTAATCGAACGACTGTAATATTTGCTTGAGTCCTTAAGTGGATTCGCATTTTATGGAGTTTAACAGAATTGGACGCGGCTCGTAAGATTTTTCCTCCGAGGTTGCAAATCGTGCAGCCGAGCGCACCCAAAGAAGCGCGAAAATTGCTCGAGATTGCACACGAAAACACCGGGTGTTTACGCGATGCGAGAGAGCGGCGCGTTGCTATTTCGACGACGAGAGACGTAGGTAAGTAAATCGGAGGCGCGTTTATCGAGTTCAAAGTCGAGTGTGGAGTCCCGTTTTCACAGACCCGAGTAGCTACACACGTATTATTCAACAGGCAGGCGCGATCGTTTGCAGCCGCGAATTTACGCAGTCGCGGCTGCAGTCGCTCGACTTCGCCGTTTATCAATGGAAATGTTTACGGAACGATATATGTATATCGCAACCGACTCGATTCTCGGCGGTGTAGCTTTTCAAAAGAGAGCGCGCAACGCTGCAGGTGTCGACGGTATAAAGCTCCGAACAATTCTGTCATTTGTTTTTTTTTTAACCACGCCGAAAAAAACAGGATTTTTTTTTATTTCTCGCGTAATCTGCTCGCGGACCGCGTTAATCCCGGCGATCTGGAGAGTGTATCGGCTCGCGTGTAAAATCTCCGCCCCGACGAAAATCAAATTGTCACCAACGAACGAACGATTACGGTAAATTGAATAGGCTTAACGAGTTTCCAGGAGATTAGCGGAAATGGCGAGCGTTGTAAGAGCGTGAAGCATGCGGACGTGGAGCCGGGAGAGACGCAGCTGGGGACCGTGGCTGATCGAAGGGGCTTTGTAAGCAAAGGATAGGAAAAAAAGGGTGTCGAGTCTCTTATTTTAAAATAAAAAGAGCTGCAATTCTATTTCCTTATAAATCGCAGATACACAAATTGCTGGACACGGTGTACCGATCATTACTACTATTATTCACTTATTACTTATATCTATTTTCGCTGGCAATATTCTAAACTGGCTAAAGACGGCCAAATCGATGGAAATCGTATCGATGCATTATAAATCGCCCAAATCTATATTCGCTGGTAACGAAGGGAGCCGCGCGGTGGCATCGCGTTATGTTTTCCCCGGCGATGCATCCGCTGGGAATGAAACGGGCAATATTGCCGAGTGAAAAACTGTACTCCATTACGGGAACGAAACCGCGTAAGTGCGGCATCAATCTTTATAATCGTTCGTAACCATCGATCAAACAGCGCGCAGTAAGGATTTTTCTTGTTTCGCAGGCATTCAAGGATGAACGGTCCCGTCCCGTGTGCGCGGCGAGTTATCGCTCGAATAAAATGCTTTATCGTTTTTACCACGCGATACGCGACGATATCGTTATACGCGCTTAAACCGCGGCGGTGCGTCTGGTCTTTCTCTCTCATAGCGTCACGTTGACACGACACGTGTCGATTAACGCGTCGGACGTACGCCGCACCGTAAATTATTATCGACGCACACATTTCGCGCGTAATTTCGCGCCTTAAAAGCTTTCGCTTTATCTTTCGAGATCCGCCGAACGATGTATCTCGGAAAACGCGTTCGCAAAGTGGCTTATCCTTATAATTATCGTCGCGTAACAGCGACCGGGTAACTCCTTGAGTGCATCGGTCGCGTTTAATACGGCATGCATTAACACCACGCCGCAACGTTCAAACGCGATATCTAATGTCATTTACGGTTCAACAAGTCGCAAATAACGTGGCTCCCGCGCGCGCGCGAGCAAGTAAGAGCAAAAGTAAAATCGACGAACGCGTCCTGCAGGAATTGCAAAGCAGATCTCACGAGACGTATTACAACGTTATATTCGAAGCGTATATATACACCGCGTTCGAATTGAATTCGCATTTTCTCGTCGTAAACTTTTACGAACGTTGGCCGTTCACGAGAGAAATACCGGTTGTGACGTGTACCTTTCGAGATACGGATATTCTCCCTCCCTCGGTCGGTGAAATCGACATCACAAAAATGTGAATTTTTATTAAAATTTACACCGCACCCGACTGTTCGCAATTTGTCCATAAATGATCGTTTCTTCTTCCACGTAGTAAGTTTATAAATAAAGAATATCTCTCCTCTTCCCTCGGTCGACAACATTAAATGGAATCTCTCGCAACAAGTATAAGAATACTCGATCAGCATTATGTCGACATTCTTTCTTCCCAGAAGCCACTTCCTGCGCGTCACCGATGATGACTCACGTGAGTCGACTACGGATTAGAACGCGCCGAGGTTCTCCGTGGTGATCTTTGTTGAAAAGGCCGTATGGATGTTATCAAAATAGTCTTCGCTGTATTTTCATACAGCGAGATCGAATCACAAGATTGTCCTGTTTAAGAGCTCCAAAAAACTCCGCGCCGTCGAAGAGTGATTTTTAATTTTGCTCTTAAGCTCCCCGCCCTACTATCAGCGATTCGCGATCGGAATACAGGATACAATCTTTTCTCTCTCTCTCTCTCTCTCTTTCTTTATCTCTAGTGCGCTGCTTCTCTCGCCCGTTCGACTCCCTCCCTTATTCTCTTCGATATTAAACGATTAATCCCTATTCTTTTCTCCCGTCGCCGCGTTACGGGCTTTAAATTGACGAGATTCGTGTCAACGCTCGGATTTAAAAGACCCTGTGACTTCAAGTTGAATTGCATCGAACACAGGGATCATCCGTGGATGATCCCGACGAAGTCACGGTAGACAAATTTTTCGAACGAGCGAGCTTAACAATTTGCTGCGTTCGGCAGAGAAAGCATCTTTGCAAGTATTGTGAAATTCTTCAACATGATTGGTTCTTGTCCTTAGTTCTTCATGGATCTAAATGTATAGACCAATCATATTAAAGAATTTTGCAACAGTTGCAAAGCTGCTTTTTCTGCTGAACGCAATCATTGGCAGGTGATAAAAAGGTAATCCTTCAATTCGGGTTCATCGGATTTTGTTCTGCTTTGTGGAAGGAAAATATATACTACATAACTGGAGAAAAACAGAAGACGAGAAAAAAAAAGTAGACGAGGAAAATCGTCTTATCAGTAAAAAGCTAATCGCACTTATCACTACTTTTCTTTCCGATTATATTTTCCTGCCTTACTGTACAGTCACTTTCGTTTCCTCTTTCTCCCCCACGTCTCAAACCCCGTGAGAGTACGCGTCTATTTTATTTTAAACGCCGAGGAGAGAGGGAGAGGGAGAGAGAGTGCAAGGAACTTACAGCCGAAAAGAACCTCGCCTTTGTCTCCTCGGCGAAATCTACCTCCGGAGCGAACTCATTTCTTCGTCGCATTAGTCACGCGGAAGACTACCCGCGAGATGTATTCCGTACAGATGCTCGTTAGTAACCAATTACGGTGCAACCACGCGTCTCCCTTCGTATACCATCCACGTGCGAAAAACGGGAGGTGCGAAAACGCGGGGAGGGGAGGGGGAGAAACGGAGGATCGGTCTAAAACCATCCGGCGTTAATTCCGCCTGACGTTTCTCCCCGTGAAAACGTGCGCGGATCCACGCGAAACTCGTATACACGTCGTCCGCGTATACAACGTATCGGCGAGAACGGCTCGGGCGGGCCGTGACCGTAAGAGGAAACGCTAGTTGCCCGGTGTGGAACGAGGAGAGCGAGCCGGGCGATCTCGCTCGCACGCACATACATACGCACTCACGGGCAGACGGGCACGCACGCACGCACGCGTTGCCTTGTCCTCGCTCGCTTGAGAAAATCACGAGGAGATAACGCGAAAGGAGGAAACAACGCCCGTTTCCCTCGACGGGGGGAGAGTTTCTTCTCTCGCACCGAGCGAGAGAGAAAACGGCGACCACACGACCGGCGTCGTGACCGTCGCTCTCGGATGCCGGCCGACGCACCGATCCCGCCGGTGCCGCAGACGAATCGCAATCTCGCGCTACCGATCCCGAGGAGGCGAGCGCGACGATTCCCCGACGTAACCCCCGGCGTTTTCCCGCAACGCAACGCGCTGAAGGAAGAAACCTCGGGAAAGGGGAAGATGATGAAACGTTGAAGAATGTATACCGGTCGTTACACTTCGATTTCCGGCGCGAAGGCGCGGGCGGCCGTCGACGCTGCCGTGGAACGATTTCCGGTCGGTTCGGCATGCCACGCCACGGCGCGATGCACGGCGCCTTCTCTCGGACGGGGTGAGGGAAGGGGGGGGGGGAGAGGATTCTTTTTTTAGACACCGTGCTCTCCGTTCGTCTCGTGTACGGTGAAGTCTCCTTACCTCTCGTGCCTCCTGAATGCGCCCCACGCTCCTCGCTCTTCGCAGAACACAGTATCTCCCGGGGTTTCACTCGATAATTCTCTCCGCCGTTCTTTCTCTCTCTCTCTCTCTATCTCTCTTCTTTCTTCTGTCGTGTCTCTATCGCTCGCGCAAGTCGGCTCGGCAGCTCTCAAGCGCGCATACACATACACACGCCACGCAGAGAGGCAAGCCTGTAACGTTTTCTCTCTCTTTCTCTCGCTCCTTCCCCCTCACGTCCCTCGTTGTCCACACCGTCTCACGCGCGCCACTCGTCTGTCTCTTCCTCGTCGCCACGACTGACGAGGATCTCGGCGATTAATAGCGCTACCTGGCCCGCCCGCGCTCACTCGCTCTCTCTCTATCTCTATTCTTCACTCGGCTCAGCTTCTTCGTCGCCACTCTGTCACGAGTCCATGGGGGGAAGAGAGCAGACGTGTAGACGACGAAGTCGTTGTCCGGTTCTTTTCTTCGCTGCTCGAACGGTTCTTGCCGCCAGCCGCAAGCAACTGGCAGCACGACTGACTTCGCACTGGCCGACGGACGACGACGACGTGGGATCGGAATTCGCGTCGCACGTTTACGAGCGAATCACGGGATACCGGGTTTCTTTCTCTCACCCGAGGTTCTCGCGCACACGGCACGCCTGATATATCGGCACTGTGCGTACCGGATCGATCCGCAAGAGGCACACACGGGGGACTCACGGCTTGCGGCTTCACGAGGAGCGAAACGCGAGCCACGAAGAAGGCGACGACGACGCTGATTAACGCGCGGACGACGGACGCGCCTCTCTCTCTCTCTCTCGCTCACTCTCTATCTCCCTCTTCTCTCTCTCTCTCTCTCTTTCTCTCTCTCTCTCCTGCCGCCGCCTGCCCTTCCTGTACGCCTCCCCGCCGCCTAGATTTTCACACTCTCGCGAGAAGACAACGCGACAGCACTGCGCGATTCTACCGTTATCTAGGGCGATGCCTCTCCGCCGTTCGCCGCTGCGCCGCCACCGTGCCCTCTATCCGCCAACACGCACCGCCGCCGGCCGCCATTTGCCGTCAACGCAGCCGGCCGGGCGAGACGGCCGTCGCTCTGACTTGCCGACGGAGTCCAGTCAAAATCACTAGACACAAGTCCGTTCGTGTCTTTCTTGGTTCATGTCACTTGCAAACTTGCATTTTTTGCGGAGTAAATACTCCAAATTCGGAATCTTCGCTTTCTCTCTCTCTCTCACTTTCTTCAACTATACATATATGTATAGTTGGAGAGAGTGAGAAAAATATATATATTTTTCTTGTTTTATAATTGCAAAAATTTTAGAGATTTCAAGTAATATGGAATAAATCTAATGAATCACCAACAACACGCTATATGTATACAGCGTATCATGGTCATGTTTTATTTTACGAAGAAAACGTAACAAAATATATAGTCGTATCAGATATATGCTCTCGTTTTTTTCCTCCTCCCCTCTTACTTAGAAGTCAGAATCTTCGTCGTTACTTCTGTGAGACAAAGTCCACGGCTCCCTTCCGTCTAGTAGCATAGAGATCCCAAAGAAAGTTAAACCACCGTTAAAACCGAAGACAGAATTAAAGCTGGGCTTCATATTTCTTACAGCTTTCAATTCCTTATAGATCCAACTATTTTTTATTTTATCTGTATACGTTTTCGGCTCTAAGCCTTTGGTCGGTGAGGTATTACTTTCTGCATCTATAATCGCCTCAATAACGCTTTCTGCAGCCAACATGCCACTTTTCATGGCATGGTGAGTTCCTTTATATTGGGGCACGGTTACAAAACTTGCCATCATTCCAATAAGACAACCACCAGGGAATTGAAGTTTTGGAATAGATTGAAATCCACCTTGTGCCAAGTATTCACAATTATGATCTGAAATACTGAATTTACGAGAAACAAAAATAGAAAGTACAATAAAAATAATGCAATTAAAATCTCGTATTATACATATATATAAAGACACCAACATTTTTCCTCCTTCAAATATTGGTCTGATACTAGGATGATGCTGTTTGATCATCTTATACTCATCCCAATCAAAAAAATCATACTCCATGAAAAAACCTGTTGCTATTTGAGGTGTTTCTCCATTCAAATGGTAAAAAAACATTTCACCATATGTACCTTTTTTAAATGGCCAACCAATCGTATGTTCCACTGCTCCAGGTCGATGCTTGCTTGGCTCTATCTCCCAAACCTTACAAAAGATATATATTACTTTAAAATGTAAAACATTTTTGTATAATTTTAATTTTTTTTTAAATATAACAATATAATTACCTCTTTGTATCCAAGGCAATACGTCTGTGGTTTACAATCTTTATAAAGATTAAATTTCTTTAATAAGTCTTCCATCAGATAGCTGCTAAAAGATCCTAGCGCAAATATAGTACAGCTCGCATGAAACTCCCTAGGTATGTTTTTGGATAAGGAGAGATCAACTTTAAATCTAGGAAAATAATTGGTCACTCCTTTAACAGATCCATCCTCGTGAAATAAAACTTGGCCCACTAAGTAATCACAACATATCTCGACACCAGCGGCTTCTGCTTGCTTGCCAAGCCACATCACTACGTCGCATAATCTATACAGAGACATACAAATTTTTACAACTGAAACAAATACTATATAGCCTTTATTAACAAATTTATGATTGCATTAAATTTCGACTTACGTTACTATGTAATTTCCATGGTTAGACATTGGCATTCCCTTGAAAATAGGTATAGATATCTTCTTCTCTTCCGTGAGAAATACAAATTTATCCTCCGTAACAGGAGTATTTAATGGCGCACCTAATTCTTTCCAATTTGGAAAGAGCTCGTTCAAGGTAATCGGATTCAGACAAGCATTAT